CTAATGTTTTGTATTTTTAGTAGAGATGGGGTTTCACCATGTTGACCAGGATGGTCTCGATCTCTTGACCTCGTGATCCACCCGCCTCGGCCTCCCACAGTGCTGGGATTACAGGGTTGAGCCACCGCGCCCGGCCAGCAATTACTTTTATAATATATACAACAGGGTAATTTTTTAGTTAGGGCATTCATTTCTCTAGTAAGTGAAAAGGTCGCTTTTTTTCCTTTCCATGCATGGTTTAACTTCTTTTAGTTTTGTTTTTTATCATCATTAATTTAACTTACAGCAGATTTATATAAATATGACTATCTTACATATGTATAATATATATTAGGCTAACAGGGTTCCTAGTATTATATATTTCTGAGACATTAGAGAGCTGCAAAAATGAGCAAAATCATAAAGCCTCTTCTCCACACAGGTGCTCGAGTTTGGCTTTTCATTGGTTTCATGTTGATGTTTGGGTCACTTATTGCTTCCATGTGGATTCTTTTTGGTGCATATGTTACTCAAAGTAAGTATGTAATCTTCCTGTGTTTTATAGGAGATATTCAGATATGTCTTTTATATTTGGCTTACTCTACCTTGAGTACAATTTAGTCTAATGATTCAGCTAGAGTGAAGATACTACTGTGTGTAAAGATACATTAGTTGTTTAATAAAACTTGTCAGTGGGAACACTTAGTGCAGTAGGATAGTCTTGGTTAGGAAATCCAAGCCACTGACAAAGCCTGTACCTCTCAAGTCTCCAGACTTTCTGCTTTCCTTCTTTACCTTAGACTGCCAGGCTTTTATGCTAGAGGCCCCATTTCCTTGCAGTAGAAAAAATGAGAAACCAGTACAGGTGTACAGTCCCTTATACACAATTCTAAAATCCACAAAATGCTGAAAATCAAGTTATTTATAACTAGTTTGGCAGCAAAACCTGACCTAAACTGACATGGGGCTCACTATGGTCTTTATCCCATTTTGTGTTTATTATAGGAATGAATATGGATATATTGGATTATAGGATGTTTGTCCATACCCAGCTGGTGATGCTATGTAATATATGTGCTTTCCCTTACTGTTCTTAAATCTGAAGAACTCTGAATTATGAAATATATCTTGCCCCAGGGATTTCAGATAAGGGGTGTAGAACCCTTATCTAATAATTTATGGATTATCAGTGGATAATCTTTCTTTTCATTAATACCTTCTCTCTCCAACCTAATCCTGTAAATTTTTTTTTTTTGGAGACAAGAGTCTTGCTTTGTTGCCCAGGCTGGAGTGCAGTGGCATGATCTCAGCTCACTACAACCACTACCTCCTAGGTTCAATTAATTCTCCTGTCTCAATCTCTCAGGTAGCTGGGATTGTAGGTGCATGCTACCATGCCTGGCTAATTTTTGTATTTTTTTCTGTTGAAAAACAGAACCCAGTTTCAAAAGTGTCTCTGGAAGTGTCGAAAGACTGTTTCACTGGCCCTCTTCCTTTGCTCCAAAGATAGGAGTCAATTTCAGAGAACACAATTTATCCTCTGACTCCTCTGCTTCTGGAATCTTTCTTTGGTTGACTGTCACATCTCCTTGTCCTGACCCACAGCTATTTTTGAATACTTTTTTTTTTTTTTTTCTTTTTTAATAAAAAAAATTTTATTAGGCATGGGGGTGTTCTACTCTCTCATGCTACCCTATGTCTTCATCCTACCTTCAGTCCTAATGAGACACTGCTTCCTGGCTCATGGAGTGGGGCTCCATAGACAAGGGGAACCAAGGTGGGGCAGGGATAAGGCCAGCGCAAACAACAGAGATGGTTCTGGGTCCAAAGTCTTCCCGTGCCCCTTCCAATTACAGTCTAATAAAATTTGGCCAGTCAGATATCTAGGTCATCATCTGGGTCTTCTTGGTCCAGGTCATCATAAGCATCTGGCTCATAGAAGATGTGGCTGGTAGCCTGGCTTGGCCTAGGCCGCAGTAGAGCCTCCTGTTTTTCAGAGCTGAACTGGAAGGGCAGGGTCAGGTTATCTCTGGCTTCTCTCTCTTTCTTGGACAGGTGAAGGTTAAAGGTCAAATGAGCTGTGGGATCCACCTGTAGGTGCAAAGGATGCTGCCACTCTACCCCATCCCCAGAATCCCTGACCCCACCCCCAACCTCTGCAGCTTTTATTCTCTCCCCTTTTACCAGACCCTAAATTACATTTCCTTGTTCTGGCCCTGGCATTCTTAGATACCGGGGGTATATGAGGATCTGAGTGGGGCTGGGACTCTATGGAGGGCCCCTCTTGGAGATCCAGGCTGAAGTCTGGAAGGATGGAGAACCACTGAGTCTGATCGGTTGGGCGCTGTCGGGGCCTCCGACACAAGATGCGGGCCGAAGCCTGGCCCATTGTACCACCCAGGGTCACCTCAGTCTGAGCAAGGCTGCTGAGAGCTCCCATGGGGCCTGGTCCATGAAGCTCTTCGTGTAGCAAGCCCAGCACGTGCACCTTCCCCACTGGGGAGCCGTCACCAGGAGGACAGGAGTCCTGATGGCTCACTGTATGCAGGGTCTGGCAGAGTGTGGTGCAGGGAAGATGAAGCAGCAGCCAGCTGAATGAATCGAGAGCGATGGTGACAGGACCAAGATCTGTCCTATTGCACATGGCTCTCAAGGCTCCCAGTGGTCCCCCAGGAAGGGCTTCCCCAGTTTTTGACCAGTTGAGAGGATCTCTGAAGAAGTCATGGTAAACCAGCCGATTATTGATATCGGAGTCAAAACCTTCACGAAACTCTTCCTCGCTTACTTCACAGCCCAAGATATGCACTTGCTCCCCACATAGTGCAGATTTCTTGACAAGTGCCTTCAACAGACTGCGCCCCTCCCACTCCACGGAATCCCGAAGCAGCACCAGGCCGCCCAGAGCCAACAGCGAGTCCAACATCTCCAACTCGCGTCAGGTCTCTGCTCTGGCGCCGTCTGATAGCGTCATAACCCACTGCCCCAACCCTGGGGTGAAAGGGCGGGGCACCCAGGAGTCCTCCCACCATTAAGACCTAACATAGTTTGGAGAAGCGATTATGTTCAATATTTCCAGGGGACGCCCCTCCCCGAGCCGTGGCGCACAGTCGTAGGTACAACGAGCCCGTCTACATTTTCAGTGTGACCGGGGCAGGAAGAGCAGTTAGGGCAGTTGTCAGTGCGAGGAGGGGGAGCCACAAGCCCCCCGCGAGGGTCCTAACCGCAGGGCCACGTGCTGTTACTCCCTATTTTTGAATACTTTTTGTAGTATCATTTAAGTCTCATAGTTTGATCCGTGGAAGATCTTTGGAATACCTTTGTTTTTCCTTTGTCTTTCACTTGGTACAAAATAAGTCAGATTACAAGAGGACAGTGGTTGGCTAATGCTTAAATAACATTGCTCATCAACTATATCTAAAATGTGTTTTTTAGTTAATTAAAAATACTGCTAGAGCACACAGTTCTGGTATGAAGTTTATCTGAAGGAAAATGCTTTTTTAAAAATAGCTTCATTGAGATTAATTTGCATATCATATAATTCAGCCATTTAAAGTATGCAGTTCAGTGTTTCTAGTATTTTCACAGAATTGTGCTACCATCACCACAATCCAATTTGAGAATATTTTTATCACCCCCATACCCATTAGCAGTCACTCCCCATTACTCCCTTCCCCTAGCCCTAGTCAGCCACTAATGTACTTTCTGTCTCTATAGATATATCTATTTCATATACATGGAATCTTATAGGAAAGTGTTTTTTTTGTTGTTGTTGTTTGTTTTTTTGAGATGGAGTCTGCCTCTGTTGCCCAGGCTGGAGTGTAGTGATGTGATCTTGGCTCACTGCAACCTGTGCTTCCCAGGTTCAAGTAGTTCTTTTATCTTAGCCTCTCATATAGCTGGGACTGCAGGTGCATGCCACCATGCCCGGATAATTTTTCTACTTATAGTAGAGATGGGGTTTCACCATATTGGTCAGGCTGGTTTCAAAGCCCTGACCTCAGGTGATCCACCCACCTCGGCCTCCCAAAGTGCTGCATTACAGGTGTGAGCCACTGTGCCCAACTGGAAAGTGTGTTTTAAACTCATTTTATCCCTGACTCTAAGAAGGATGGGCCGCTGTCACTGATTTCTTAAAAGGTCTCCATAGTTATGTTAAAGAAAAACTTCAGATAAATTAACAATTTGAGCAAAGAATGATTCATGAATCGAGTGGCGCTCAGAACCAAGAAGAGTTTCAGAGAGCTTCACCCAGCAGCATGAGCAGCTGTAGGCTGAACAGAAAGCAAAGTCAAGAATTTAGATTGTTTTGTTATAGCAACAGAAAATGGACTTAAAAAATAATAAAAAAGAAAAAGAATTTAGATTGTCTATAGCTATGTGTCTTATTTATGCATCGTCTCATCAGTTGGCTGCTTGGGATTGGCTAAAGCTTAGCTGTTTGTGATTGGCTAAAATTCAGCTATTTATTACAAAAATATATCCTTAGGTTTCAGTTTGTTTTCATAAGTTAGGTTGGGGGTCATACAGGAACTCAGAGTAGGGAGATAGCCTCAGGTTAATGGCCTCCTGCTTATTTACTTTAGCAGTTGAAGTGATGCATGAACTTTACAGTTTCTATAGTGAAAACAGGAATAAATTGCCATTTCCATAAAGTATGTAGGGAACTGGTTTTTGCAAAGGTTGTACTCTTGTTGACTGTATCTTTTTTTTTGAGATGGAGTTTTGCTCTTGTTGCCCAGGCTGGAATGCAATGGCACAATCTTAGCTCACTGCAACCTCTGCCTCCCGGGTTCAAGCAATTCTTCTGCCTCAGCCTCCTGAGTAGCTGGGATTACAGGCACCTGCCACCATGCCCAGCTAATTTTTTGTGTTTTTAGTAGAGACAGGGTTTCACCATGTTGGCCAGGCTGGTCTCAAACTCCTGACCTCAAGTGATCCACCTGCCTTGGCCTCCCTAAGTGTTGATATTACAAGTGTGAGCCACCATGCCTGGCCTAAATATACTTTTCTATTTGTAAAGTGAATATGACTTTATTTCAGAGAGCATTTCTAGTGCGTGTTTCAAGTCTTTTACTGTACCGATTTGCTTGAACTATTAATATTCATAATAATAGCTAACTTTTATATACTACTTTATAGGATAGATACTGGTCTAAGCACTGTATAGAATCACTCATCTAATTCTTACACTCTAGGGTAGGTGCTATTACAAAGCCCATTTTACAGGTGAGGAAATGAAGATATGCTGAGGTTAAATTATTTGCCCAAGATCATATATTTAGTCCGTGGTATAGATAGGATTCAAACTTGTGTCTGGCTCAAACTTGGAGCTCTTAGCCATGCTTCTGTATTGTTTGCTGCGATATCAAGAGCTCATAATTGAACCAGTTTCTTCATCCTGTCTGGTATTTTTAAATCAATATTTATAGTTTACAAAAGTTAATCATCCACAGAAATTTAAGTAGTTTCCATTTTGTTTCTTTTCTCTTCCTATAAAGATAGTAACTCATGGATAGATTGAGTAAAAGAGAATGGTGATAAATTGTGACTATGTTGCTTATATCTGACACATTTGCATGATAAAACTCCTGGATTGAGAGCCAGGCCCTGTGGTGTGTGCTTGTAGTCCCAGCTACTTGGGAGGCTGAGGCAGGAGGATCACTTGAGCCCAGGAGTTTGGGCTGTAGTGTGCTGTGATTGTGGCTGTCAGTAGCTCCTGCACTCCAGTCTGGGCAATGTAGTGAGGCCCCATTTCTTTAAAAACTAAAATAAGCCTCTTGAATTCATGAAAGAAAATAACAGACTTTAAAAGTTAAGAATTTAATTTATATATTTTTACGATTTTGTATTTCAATATTGGCCATAGGAGGCAAAGGAACAAGTTACTGCTTTCTCAGCAGTTTCGATGTAGCTAGAAACAGCAATTACTTTAGACAAAAATAAAACTTGATAAGTTCATGTAAGAGTAGTCTTTTGTTTTGGGGGAATTAAGTTGGCATTTTCTTCTTTCAATTTCGTTATAGATGTCTTAGAGTTAATGAATAATAGCAGTATGTTGTAATACACAAAATGTGTCATTATGAAAGGCACTGATACTTTATTACTGCCGTTTGCCTATCTAACCTTCTAATCTGTTTTACTTTATATATGTAGATACTGATGTTTATCCGGGACTAGCTGTGTTTTTTCAAAATGCACTTATATTTTTTAGGTAAGTTGTCTAATTTCTTAACCACACCTGTAGCATTTACAGAAGTGTCAGCTTAAGTAAGGCAGCATATACATGGAGCACACATAAATTTATTTTTTTAAAGATAGGGTTTCACCATGTTGGCCAGACTGGTCTCAAAGTTCTGACCTCAGGTGATCTGCCCGCTTCGGCCTCCCAAAGTGCTGGGATTTTTAAAAGGTGAAAATTCCACTGTTACATAAGAGTAGACATAGGCCTTTTAACTAGGGGTCTTGCTGTATACCAAGACTTTAGCTGCATGCTTTATATATTTTATGGGTTTTTTTTTTTGTTTTTTTTTTGAGGCGGAGTCTTGCTCTGTCACCCAGGCTGAAGTGCAGTGGCACGATCTCAGCTCAGTGCATCCTCTGCCTCCCAGGTTCAAACAGTTCTCTGCCTCAGCCTCCTAAGTAGCTGGGCTTACAGGTGCAGGCCACCACGCCTGGCTAATTTTTTTTGTAGTTTTAACAGAGATGGGGTTTCATCATCTTGGCCAGGCAAATTTTGAACTACTGACCTCGTGATCCACCTGCCTTGGCCTCCCAAAGTGCCGGGATCACGGGTGTGAGCCATTGCACCCGGCCTTATTTTATCTTTTAAGTTCCCATTTAGGCCAAGTACAGTGGCTCATGCTGGTAATCCCAGCATTTTGGGAGGCTGAGGTGGCTGGATTGCTTGAGCCTAGGAGTTCAAGATCAGCCTGGGCAACATGGCAAAACCCTGTCTGTACAAAAAAATATAAAAATTAGCTAGGTGTGGTTACATCTGTGGTCCCAGCTACTCAGGAGGCTGAGGTGGGAGAATTGCTTGAGCCCGGGAGGTCGAGGCTGCAGTGAAGCAAGATTGCACCACTGCTCTCCAGCCTGGGCAATAGAGTGAGACCCTGTCTCAAATAAATAAATAAAAGTAAATAAATAAATTCCCATTTAATTATTTTAAATATACATCAGATGGTATTCTCATTTTATTTATTTTTATTTATATTTATTTATTTATTTTTGAGACGGGGTCTCTCTCTGTAGCCCAAGCTGGAGTGCAGTAGTGCAGTCTTGGCTCACTTCAACTTCTGCCTTGGGGCTCAAGCAATTCTCATGCCTCAGTCTCCTGAGTAGCCGGGACTACAGGTGCCTGCCACCATGCCCAGCTAATTTTTTGTATTTTAGTAGAGACAAGGTTTCACCATCCTGCCCAGGGTGATATTGAGCTCCTGAGCTCAGATCTGCCTGCCTCTGCCTGCCTCGGCCTCCTGAAGTGCTGGGATTACAGGTGTAAGCCACTGAGTCCAGCATTATTCCCATTTTATAGATGAGGAAATAAGGCTTAGAGCTTGCTTTAGGATGCCTAGCTAGTAAATGAGGAGCTGGGATTTGAATCCAGACTGCTGCTTACATAGCCTGTGTTTTGTTAAAAAGCTGTGTCAGGCTCACTGCTTCACTTGACCAGCCTTTTGAAAAACAAAACAAAACAGGTAAAGTACCTTTATTAAGAAAAAAGGAAAAACTGGAATTAATACATGCATGTATGGTGGCTCATCCTGTAATCCCACTACTTTAGGAGGCCGAAGTGGGCAGATCACCTGAGGTCAGGGGTTCGAGACCAGCCTGGCCAACATGGTGAAATCCCGTCTCTACTAAAAATACAGAAGTTAGCTGGGTGTGGTGGCGCGTGCCTATAATCCCAGCTACTTAGGAGGCTGAAGCAGGAGAATGGCTTGAACCCAGGAGGCTGAGGTTGTAGTGAGCCAAGATCGTGCCATTGTACTCCAGCCTGGGCAACAGAGTGAGACTTCATCTCAAGAAATAACATAAAATTAAATTAAATTAAATTAATCTCTCCATTGTCACTTTGGAGAATTAAAATAAAGAAATTAATTTCTACTTCTGCAGTGTTTAATCTACCATGCCATCCAATTAATTTTTCATCTGAGACATTGTATTTTCTATCTGTAGAAGCTTGATTGGGCCTTTAAAAATATTTCCGATGTCCTTCCTTAACATGCTCATGCTCTCTTTCACCTTCTTGAACACAGAGTATATTTATAGCTATCTCAGGGTCCTGGTCTAATTGCCTGTGCATTTCTACATCTGTTTCTATTGATTAAGTCTGCTTCTATTTATTCTTCATTTTGGATCTGTTTTCTATTATTTGGAGCTTTGCATGTAATTTGTTGGGACTGGATCATTTGCTAGTCCTTTAAATATTTTTGAGCTTTGTTTTGGGATGCAGTTAGGTGACTGAGAAACAATATGATCCTTTTGTGTCTTTTAAGCTTTGTTATAGGCAGGATGAGAGCAGCTGTAGTCCAGGACTAATTTGTCCCTTACTAAGGCAGTCATACCCTTTGAGTGTTTCAATGCTCTGATGCTCCATGTTTTCTGAGGTTTCTCCACTTGACTTGTGAGAATATCACCTCTCTTCCAGCCTTGTGGTAGCTTTGGGACATGTTCTCTCCGGTGGTTCTTTCCTTTCCTCGGATAGTTTCTTCTTATGTATAGACTGATCAGTACTCAGCTGCAGACTCAAGGATCACTCCCTGCAGATCTCCTGTGTTCCCTTTGTGTGGCTGTCTGTACGCTGCCTGGAAAACTCTCGCCATGTGGTCTGCTCCAACTCTCAGGAGGAGATGCTTTACCTGGATTTCCTCTTATAGCCTTAACACTCTTGGTTTTGAAAGATGTTTGGCAGTTCTGCTCTCTTATGTGCTGTCAGTCACATATCCTTGGCATGTAACTGACAGCCTTCAGGGATATAATAAGTTATCATAAAAACATTTTAGGCAGTCTCTAGAGATTAAGTTTGAATTCAGCACTTTGTGGTGGTAGATGAATCCACATACATGACAGTTGGATGAATAGAAACCTTGTATGCTCACACAGACTATGACAGCCATGTCAGCTATGTGCTCTGCCCAGAGGCCAGCACACTATGTGCTTCCTGTGTGCTGGGCCTGTTCTAAGCTCCGGGGTACAACCTCTTTTATTTACATCTCTGGTCACTCCTCTGTTTCCTTTGCAAGCTGATCCTCCACTCCCTGGCTACTACCTTTTTAATTCTCTTAAAACTCTGTTCTTGGCTTTAAGAAACTTCTTGTTATTTTTCTGTCTCTGGGTGAACTCATGTGTGCTTAGGACTCCCAGTTATTGCTTATGTGCCAGTGAGTCACAGAGGTTCATTTCCAGGTCTAAACCGTTTGTCTAGATTCCTATTTAACATCCCTTCTTGGGTTGCTGACATTACAAATCCAGAACATTCAGTATGCCCACAGCTCAACCCATGGCCCTGGAGTATCCCATCTCTCTGCTCCCCGCTCCTTATCCCCACTCTCACTTTGCTGAAATAATTCCCACTTTTCTTTTGGATCTCAGTTCAGTCACCACTCCTCAGGAAAACCTTTCTTGACCTCTATAACTAGGTCTGATCCTTATGTTTAATTCTTAGGATACTGTGTACCTCTTGCTTATAGCATTTTTTTTTTTGCAGTTGGAATTTTATATTTATTTGATTGTCTTATTATTAGATCCTTAGCTCCATTAGGGAACACCTTTGTCTGGACTCACAGTCTCATCCTAGCACTTAGCCAGATGCTTGATACATAGCCAGTTCCCAGTGCACAATAATTATTTGTTAAAGGAATGAAGAATTGCAGCATGTTCTGTTGTAGGGTGCGTCCGTTATTGTTCTTTAGATATGGTAGACTCCTAGGTAAAATGGCCCTAATACCTGTCACTATGAGAAATGTCTCTCTCTCTCTTTTTTAATTCACTTTTGTTTTTGTTTCTGAGTCATAGAGAAATGTCTCTTTTCCTTACAAGTTTCCTGTGTAATAACTTTCCAGGCTTTAAAAAAGAATACAGGCCAGGCGCGGTGGCTGATGCCTGTAATCCTAGCGCTTTGGGAGGCCAAGGTGGGTGGATCACCTGAGGTCAGGAGCTCAAGACCAGCCTGGCCATCATGGTGAAACCCCATCTTTAAAAAAACAAAAAAACAATAACAACAAAAAAAAGAATACTGTTATGCTCAGCCATCATGGTTAACAGACTGCTGTACAAAATAAGCAAATTGAGATCAACATACTGCCGTGATGTTTAATTTAATTTTAAAAATTGATAGGAATCAGTGAAGTATCTGTCAAAGCATATTGAGAAAATGAATTGTGTTGCTTGCTTGTTTTTTCCTCATGATTTGTTTTCCTATCTTTCTAGCACTCTGATCTACAAATTTGGAAGAACCGAAGAGCTATGGACCTGAGATCGCTTCTTAAATCACATTCTCCTTTTGTTATATTCTGTTTGTAGATAAGTTTTTTTAATCTCTCTACACATTGCCAAATGGAGTAGATTGTACATTAAATGTTTTGTTTCTTTACATTTTTATGTTCTGGGTTTTGAAATAGTTTTATGAAATTTCTGTTCTTTTTCATTGCATAGACTGTTAATATGTATATAATACAAGAGTATATGAATTGGATAATGAGTATCAGTTTTTTATTCCTGAGATTTAGAACTTGATCTGTTCCGTGAGCCAGGGTTATATCATCATGTTGTTTTAGAAGTAACCACTTTCTCTCTGGCTGGGCATGGTGACTCACGCCTGTAATCCCAGCACTTTGGGAGGCAAAGACAGGCAGATTACCTGAGGTCAGGCTTGAGACCAGCCTGGCCAACATGGCGAAACCCTGTCTACTAAAAATACAAAAATTAGCTGGATGTGGTGGTGGGCGCCTGTAATCCCAGCTACCTGGGAGGCTGAGGCAGGAGAATTGCTTGAACCCTGGGGCGGAATTTGCAGTGAGCTGAGTTTGCACCACTGCACTCTAGCCTGGGTGACAAAGTGAAACTCTGTCTCAAAAAAAAAAAAAGTAACCACTCTTCTCTCAGTATCTCTAATTTCTGAAGATGTGCAAAAAATATAGCTTCATATATCTGGAATGAGCACTGAGCCATAAAAGATATTTCAGCAAGTTGTAATTTATTTTGGCTTAAAAATAAGGCTTTTTTGTAAAGGAAAGTGTTTGTTCTTATGTATTGAAGAAGTGTACTTTTATATAATGATTTTTTAAATGCCCAAAGGACTAGTTTGAAAGCTTCTTTTAAAAAGAATTCATCTAATATGACTTTATGTGAGAAGAGATAATACATGATCAAATAAACTCAGTTTTTTATGGTTACTGTAAAAAGACTGTGTAAGGCAGCTCAGTACCATGCTTCTCATAAAAGCAGCTTAAATTATCCACCCAGGTTATCTTTTGACAACCTGCCATTATCTGATGTTACACAATTCAATAGCAAGCAAGTTTGAGACAATCGCAGTTTAAAAGCATGAACCATATAACAAAAAGTGGAATAGTTAAAGATAAAGCACTTCTTCCCAAAGGAAATTAGCAGCTAGTGAAAAATTAGGCATTTCATCTCAGTTACCAACTGCAAGTCTCTCTTCGCTCTAGCTCTCAAGCTTTGGGTGAATGTTCCTGCGAAATATATCTTCAGCTTGAAAGTTCATACTCCAATCAAAAACTCCTTTTACTGAGTTTGCAGTACTGTATTTGCACTGTTTGTATTCCTCTGGGCCTTTATTGCTCCTTTTGCTTTCCTTTGTTACACAGATTTTGTGTTGCACTTTGTTCTCCAGCGGGGTGTTGTAGAGCCTTGGTTGTATGAGTAATACCAGCGGTAGTGTCCATAGCTCACATGCAGGCCCATTTGGCATCACTCCTCTCCTCTCTCAGAGGATTTATTGTGCACAGTGTATGAAGCAGTTGTGGAGCGCTGTGCCTTTGTCAAGATACCATCTTGTTTGATGACTTCTTTCTTTGCTGTTTTTCTTCAAAATGTTAGCAAGCTCTGTCATGCCTCTAGCAAATTGTAAGACTAATGATTTGTTTCCACTCTCATAACTTGTTGCAATAAATATTACTTCTCATGCAGTTTACTATTGTTGTTTGTTGGAGAAAATGAACCATAAAAATTGATTTGCTGTTCAGTTTTCAACTGTTCAAGTATACCCAATTAAAGATGCAGTTATGTTTATAAAACAAGAAATAGATTTGTAAGATGCTCATGTGAAGGTTATTGACGGTTTCCCTGAAGACTGACTAGAAATGGTGGCTGTTTTTTTCTATTTTTGACTGTGCCATGAATTTTTTTTTTTTGAGACGATTACATTCTTGCCTAGGCTGGAATGTAATAGTGCAACCACAGCTCACTGCACCTTCAAACACTAGGGCTCAAGCAGTCCTCTCACTTCCACCTTCCAAGTGGCTGGAACTGCAGGTGCATGTCACCATGCCCGGTTAATTAAAAAAAACATTGTATTTTTGTAGAGAAGTGGTCTCATGCTGTTCAGGCTGGTTGAACTCCTGGCTTCAACACATCCACCTGCTTCAACCTCACAAAGTGCTAGGGTAACCGGCATGAGCCACCACACCCAGCCCTGAATTTGTTTTTTAGCTCTGAGCAAATCACTTAGTTCTCTGTTTCCTCATTTTAAAAGAGATTATGTTAGTTTCCATTCAAGCAGAATCTTTGTTAATCATCTAAAAATGCATGCCATTCCCTTACTAAAGTTCTTAAGCTGTCACATAGGTTCAGTGGTCATTGAATCTGAGTGTCTTTTTTTGTGTGTGGACCAATGTCAGAATATTTCATTTTATTGCTCTATTTCTAAGATCCTTATATTCCTTGTGCTGTTGCCACTGAGTGAAAAACCCAGAGGCTATATTTTTCTCATTTTATATATATATATATATATATATATATATATATATATATATATATATATATATAATGGAATATATGTGTGTGTGTGTGTGTGTGTGTGTGTGTGTGTGTGTGTGTTTGTGCGTGTGTATGATTATACTTCAAGTTCTGGTTCAGAACTTTAAGTGTAAGTTTAAAGTAAGTATACTTTAAGTTCAGAACGTGCAGTTTGTTACATGGGTATACACGTGCCCTGGTGGTTTGCTGCACCCATCAATCCGTCATTTACATTAGGAATTTCTCCTAATGCTATCCCTCCCCTAGTCCCCCATCTCCCCAACAGGCCCCAGTGTGTGATGTGCCCCTCCCTGTGTGTTCCCATTGTTCAACTCCCACTTACGAGTGAGAACATGCGGTGTTGGGTTTTCTGTTCCTGTGTTAGTTTGCTGAAAATGATGGTTTCCAGCTTCATCCATGTCCCTGCAAAGGGTATGATTTAAAAAAAATGTTTTTCAAGACAGAATATTGCTTTGTTGACCAGGCTAGATTGTAGTGGTGCAGTCTCAGCTCACTGCAACCTCTGCCTCCTGGGTTCAAGCGATTCTTCTGCCTCAGCCTCCTGAATAGCTGGGATTACAGGTGCCTGCTACCACGCCTGGCTAAATTTTTATATTTTTAGTAGAGATGGGGTTTCACCATGTTGGCCAAGCTGGTCTCGAACTCTGGACCTCGTGATCCACCTACCTTGGCCTCCCAAAGCACTGGGATTATAGGCATGAGCCACCATGCCCAGTGAACTCATCCTTTTTTTTATGGCTGCATAGTATTCTATGTGTGTGTGTGCCACATTTTCTTTATCCAGTCTATCACTGATGGGCATTTGGGTTGGTTCCAAGTCTTTGCTATTGTGAACAGTGCTGCAATAAACATACGTGTGCATGTGTCTTTATAGTAGAATGATTTATAATCCTTTGGGTATGTACCCAGTAATGGGATTGCTGGGTCAAATGGTATTTCTGGTTCTAGATCCTTGAGGAATCGTCACACTGTCTTTCACAATGGTTGAAGTAATTTACACTCTCACCAACAGTGTAAAAGTGTTCCCATTTCTCCACAGCCTCCCCAGCATCTCTTGTTTCCTGACTTTTTAATTATTGTCATTCTAACTGGCATGAGATGGTATCTCATTGTGGTTTTGATTTGCATTTCTCTAATGACCAGTGATGAGGAGCTTTTTTTCATATGTTTCTTGGCCACATAATGTCTTCTTTTGAGAAGTATCTGTTCATATCTTTTGCCCACTTTTTGATGAGGTTGTTTTTGTAAATTTGTATAAGTTCTTTGTGGATTCTAGATATTAGCCCTTTGTCAGATGGATAGATTGCAATTTTTTTCTCCCATTCTGTAGGTTGCTTATTCACTGTGATGATAGTTTCTTTTGCTGTGCAGAAGCTCTTTAGGTTAATTAAATCCCGTTTGTCAAGTTTGGTTTTTGTTGCCATTGCTTATGTTGTTTTAGTCATGAAGTCCTTGCCTATGCCTATGTCCTGAATGGTATTGCCTAGGTTTTCTTCTAGGGTTTTTATGGTTTTAGGTCTTACATTTAAGTCTTTAATCCATCTTGAGTTAATTTTTGTATAAGGTATAAGGAAGGGGTCCAGTTTTAGTTTTCTGCATATGGCTAGCCAGTTTTCACAACACCATTTATTAAATAGGCAATCCTTTCCCCGTTGCTTGTTTTTGTCACGTTTGTCAAAGATCAGATGGTTGTAGATGTGTGGTGTTATTTCAGAGGTCTCCGTTCTGTTCATTGGTCTGTATATCTGTTTTGGTACCAGCACCATGCTGTTTTGGTTACTTAGCCTGCTAGCATAGTTTGAAGTCAGGTAGCACGATGCCGCCAGCTTTGTTCTTTTTGCTTAGGATTGTTTTGGTTATACGGGCTCTTTTTTGGTTCCATATGAAATTAGTTTTTTTCTAATTCTGTGAAGATAGTCAATGGTAGCTTGATGGGGATAGCATTGAATTAATAAATTACTTTGGGAAGTATGGCCATTTTCATGATACTGATTCTTCCTATCCATGAGCATGGAATGTTTTTCCATTTGTTTGTGTCCTCTCTTATTTCCCTGAGCAATGGTTTGTAGTTCTCTGTGAAGAGGTTTTTCACATCCCTTGTACGTTGTATTCCTAGATATTTTATTTCTCTTTGTAGCAATTGTGAATGGGAGTTCACTCATGATTTGGCTGTTTGTCTGTTATTGGTGTATAGGAATGCTTGTGATTTTTGCACATTGATTTTGTATCCTGAGACTTTGCTGAAGTTGCTTATCAGCTTAAGGAGATTTTGGGCTGAGACGATGGAGTTTTCTGCATATACAATCATGTCGTCTGCAAACAGACAATTTCATTTCCTCCCTTTCTATTTGAATACCCTTTATTTATTTCTCTTGCCTGATTGCCCTGGCCAGAACTTCCAATACTGTATTGAATAAGAGTGGTGAGAGAGGGCATCCCTGTCTTGTGCCAGTTTTCAAAGGGAATGTTTCCAGCTTTTGCCCATTCAGTATGATATTGGCTGTGAGTTTGTCATAAATAACTCTTATTGAGATATGTTCTATCAATACCTAGTTTATTGAGAGTTTCTAGCATGAAGGGGTATTGAATTTTATTGAAGGTCTTTTCTGCATCTATTGAGATAATTGTGGTTTTTGTCATTGGTTCTGTTTATGTGATGGATTACGTTTATTGATTTGTGTATGTTGAACCTGCCTTGCATCTCAGGGCTGAAGTTGACTTGATCGTGATGGATAAGCTTTTTGATGTGTTGCTATATTCAGTTTGCCAGTATTTTATGGAGGATTTTTACATCTATATTCATCAGGGATATTGGCCTGAAATTTTCTTTTTTTGTGTCTCTGCCAGGTTTTTGTATCTGGATGATGCCGGTATCATAAAATGAGTTAGGGAGGATTCCATCTTTTTTTGTTGTTTGGGATAGTTTCAGAAGGAATGGTACCAGCTCCTCTTTGTACCTCCGGTAGAATTCAGCTGTTAATCCATCTGGTCCTGGGCTTTTTTTGGTTAGGAGGCTATTAATTATTGCCTCAATTTCAGAACTTGTTATTGGTCTGTTCAGGGATTAGACTTCTTCCTGGTTTAGTCTTGGGAGGGTGTAAGTTTCCAGTAATTTATCCATTTCTTCTTGATTTTCTTGTTTGTGTAGAGGTGTTTATTATATTCTCTGATGGTAATTTGTATTTCTGTGGGATCAGTGGTGATATCCCCTTTATTGTGTCTATTTGATTCTTCTTTATTAGTCTGGCTAGTGGTCTATTGTTAATCCTTAAAAAAAAAACAAAGCTCCCAGATTCACTGATTTTTTTTTTTTTTTTTTTTTTTTTTTTTTTTTTTTTTTTTTTTTTTTTTTTTTTTTTTTTTTTTTTTTTTTTTTAAAAAAATTCTCATTTTTAAAAATTTTTTTTTTTTTTTTTTTTTTTTTTTTTTTTTTTAAGATAGAATCTTGCTCTGTGTTGCCCAGGCTGGAGTGCAATGATGTGGTCTTGGTTCACTGCAACCTCTGCCTCCTGGGTTCAGGTGATTTTCCTGCCTCAATCTCCTGAGTAGCTGGGACTACAGGTGTGTGCCACCACACCTGGCTAATTTTTGTATTTTTAGTAGAGACAGGGTTTCACTATGTTGGCCACACTGGTCTTGAACTCCTGACCTTGTGATTCACCCACCTCAGCCTTCCAAAGTGCTGGGATTACAGGCATGAGCCACCATGTCCAGCTTCACTGATTTTTTTGAAGGGTTTTTCCTGTCTTTATCTCCTTCAGTTCTGCTCTGAACTTAGTTATTTCTTGTCTTTTGCTAGGTTTTGAATTTGTTTATTCTTGCTTCTCTAGTTCTTCTAATGGTGATGTTAGGGTCTTGATTTTAGATCTTTCCTGCTTTCTCCTGTGGGCATTTAGTGCTATAAATTTCCCTCTAAACACTGCTTTAACTATGTCCCAGAGATTCTGGTATGTTATGTCTTTGTTCTCATTGATTTCAAAGAATTTATTTATTTCTGCCTCAATTTCATTATTTATGCAGTAGTCATTCAGGAGCGGGTTGTTCTGTTTCCATGTAGTTGTGCGGTTTTGAGTGAGTTTCTTTATCCTGAGTTCTAATTTGATTGCACTGTGGTCTGAGAGACTGTTAATGATTTCCATCTTTTGCATTTGCTGA